AACCAGGATCCGTCGATGTAAGACGACAGTTAGTTAAAGGACGAGTGCTTGTCCGACCACAACAAGATAACTCTGTTTAATACCTAAATATCAATTTCCTAATATTTTTTTACGTCGAACCTATTTAGGACAGATTTATACAAATACAAGTTATATTTTATAAAAAAATATTTTACAACAATTTTGGCGACGTTATTCGCATATACCAGAGGAATAAAAAATACTCGAAGCATTTAAAAAATTTAAACGAGGAAAATATTTATCATACGGAGGAAAGTTTCAGATTTTAACTTTTCAAAAAAAAAAAAATTTAAAAAAAAAAAAAATTGAGAAAGCCAAGACGTCAAATTAAATTAAAAAAAATCTATGTATATTCTCAATATTTGAGAAAGAAATTTAGCAGACATATAAAGAATCTTTTCATCAGCGTCTAATGGAAAAAACCTTCGACACCGTGAAGGATATTTTTAAATGTATAAGTTAATGATAATCCGACGACGGTAGAAGCAAGCGGTGGACATTTTGTTAAATGAGGAAATGTAAAAATACAACGACAAAATATTGAAGACATAATTTATATTTCGAAAATCTTGATTTGTTAAAGAAATCGCCCCCACCCCAGAAAAAAAATTTTTTTAATAATACTAGTTTGAAATATTATTGTTCTTTGTATTATTTATACAAAATTTTGTGTCTCTAATTATAATATATATATATATATAATAGATAGATAGCATGAGATGAATAAAATTGTAGTGGTTGAAAATATATATATATATATATATATATATATATATATATATATAAAATATACAAATATATATACACACATATTTTTGACATCATAATATATATATATATATATATATATATATATATATCATGTATATAAAAAGGCAGAAATTCAATATCCAGGACAGATGAAGAATTCCAAAGAATAGCAAACACCCAGAAAATTCCATGGTTATAATTTATATTGAAAATTCAAATTATAATGAGAATAAAAAAAGTTGAATAAATTAAAAAGATTTTTAATTTCCTAGAGTCAAATTGCAAGACAGACATGATTGCAGAAAAAATGTTCATATTCATTGGTGATTTTTAAATAAAGATACACACACACATTTTCATACACGAATATATACCCATGATAAATTGTTTACAATTGTTTTTTTTACATAAACACACCCCCTTCCCAACACATTTTATAAACATAAATGAAAAGAGGCAAATCTGAAATTTATAACACAGAAAATGTTACATCTTTCAAGGCAAAATTGAAAAAATATTTTGACCAGTAAATTTAAATTGATCAAAAAATAAAAAAAAAAATTAAATGAAACCTTCAATAAGTTCAACTTCTTAGAGTGATTTATTTGCAAATATCCAGGTAGAAAAATATTGCTACAAACGTGCATTTGATTTCTGCTGATGATGGCCATTCTGTCCGAAACTACTTGAAGAACCTAATCAAAAATTAATACAAAATATGATTAGACGTAAACCACTGTATCTGAAATTTTAATTTTTGACAATTTTTATTGTTGTAGAAAACACATTCAAAATGATATATATATATATATATATATATATATAAATATATAGGTAAAATTTTGAATTGAGGAATGAGAGGATGAATTCAATTCCAGTATTTTTTTAAATTCACTTAGTTAAACAAAAAGGACTGAATGGGTTCATATAGCCTTGGAGGAATATATATATATTTGGATAGGACAACTCTGATTTAAAACCTGCGGAGGGTCGTTTGGGGACCTTGTGTTACAATAAAAGTACATTTTGAATTCGGCTTAAAAAAATATTATAAAATTGATTTTATAGTAAAAAAAGTCTTAACCATCATAAATCAGATAATCATATTGCAGGTTTATGCTTGATTTGGTTTCGAGGAAAATATTCTCTTTGACCCTCAGACAAAATAATTTTATATAGTAAATATATATATATATATATATATATATATATATATATATATATTTATTTATATTTTTGTAATTACAAAATTTAATGATCGAAATAAAAGTATAAAATTTAATATTACAAGACATATTAATGAATATTAAATAATAAAAAACAAAAAAATTAACAATTTGGTTAAATGAAAACCATTTTGTTTTTTTCAGGCTTCCACAGAAAAGATTCTTAAAATTAAAACAGAGAAATGTACAATCAAGAATATATATAAAAAATATATATATATATTTATATATATTTATATATATATATTTGTATATATTGCTAAGAAGGAAAAAAGAGGCAGATGATGTTTTTCTCAGCAAACAATCACGTTGTTTGTAAAATCAAAAGTTGTGGGACATTTTAAAATGCGCCTCCAGAATTATCGCATGAAATACAATATGAATTTTAAAACATGGTGAAGCTTTCAAGTAAAAAATTTGGCATTTTTAAGATTCAATATGCCATTAAGTTACTCATTCAAATACGCAGCGATACTCATCAGACGTTTTAAACAGATAATCTTGAACATAGTGCTCAAAAGCCATAAAAACTTTTTTATTATCTGCTGTTTGCAGAACAATAGTTAAATCTAGCAAAAAAATATATATATAAATTATTTGGGGTTAACTCATCATCTGGTAAATATATCGATATAATATAATGTAAAATATGACCCGTATGCAGTATATATATATTTAAGTTGTCATCAGAATTGGTCCAATTTCGATTATTGGTAGTGGATGTGCAATTGCTGATTTGTCCCAATTATTTAGAAACGGCCGTCCAGGAATATTATTATATCTGCATTAAACTATTGATATTATTTAGATCGATGAAATGATGATATATGATTAGCCTAAAATATATATATATGTATTGAAAAATTAATTTCAGTTGAGCTCTCTGGGGAGGAGATGTGGGTTCAAAAAAAGATGTTAAGTAGGAACGTATTGCGAGAGAGAATAGTGCGAATTGATCAAAGTTAATTGCTTAGACACCGGCGTGTTTATAAAGAAAAACACGAAAAAAGAAACTTTCCTCCCTATTTATTGTGCCGATGGTTAGACAGAAAAGAATGACACCAGTTCATTCAGGGTTTAGTGACAACTAGTGGAGGCAATTGGATGTCTAGCTTATTACATTAAGATGATGAGCTGTGAAACATTCGAAACAGTCTGTTTAAACATGGATGATTTATATTTATATATATGTGAGGGAATTGTCAGTGATATGTTAATTGCAGGGTTTGTGTATGTGTTTAAATTAGTTCTGGTCGGATATATTTATGTAAGTCCTCTGTAAAGGCATGTAGTAGTGTGGACGAAATTTAATACGATTCTTTGAGTAAGAAGGTTGATAGAGGACGATGGCTTCTTAAAGGGAATTTGGGTTCGTTAATAACTTGGTTCTGATTGGTTTTGATCAAAATTTTGCGTTGCTATTTTTTTGAAATTATTTTATTTTTGGTGATTTTAATTTTTTTGTACTAGATAATTAATTTAATATTTTATTCGGTTCAACTGAGGTAGTGTATATTTTTATTATATATATTTATAAATAAATATTCATATATTGTTTTTAAATATATTTTTGATATATATTACCTGTTATATTTTTTTAAAAAATATGTCTAAATTTTTTTCGCCAAACTAGGACTTGTTAAGAAACCATTGTTAAATAGTGTGTTTTGCATTATATGCATCTTTATAAAATAGTTTGAAAATATATTCTAATAAAATAAACTTTTTATGAAAATTTGACGAACTGCTATTTTGTACAATAAATGGTCATTCAGTTTTAAAATTAATATATAAATTTATATATATATATATATATATATATATATATATATATATATATATATATATATATATTATATATATTTATATATATATTTTATTTATACGTTTCATTAAATAATATAGACAAGTGTTGTCTATTTATTTTATGTAAATTTTTTTCGTTAAATCTGATAAGTTTAATAACATTATCGTTAAACGAAGAAAGAAATTCACAATATTGATCCATATTTTTTAATATAATCTAAGCTTTCGGCTTACTTAAGCCATTATCAAAGATGTAAATTACAAACATATTAAACAATATACGGACACGACAGTGATGATAGTCTGTCATTGTTTACATAGTTGATCACTAAGCAACGATAAACACGCGCATATAAGACGCTAGAAGCGAAAATCGCACCGCATCTCATGACGTCACATATGACCATACGAGAGTGAATTGGAGAATGAAGTATGGAAAGCCGTTGGTATAAACCAATGGCTTCTGTTACCAATTATAGACATTTAAGAATATTTGTAGAGATGCCATAATTGATTTTGTTTAGGTTGGGTTTCAACTGTTTGATGTATAATGCTTCAAGTATTTTTAGTTTTTGTCTATTGTTTTCATGTCGAAGTATAGTTGTGTTTTCGACAAGTATTTTACGGAATTGTGTGGGCGGGCAGGCATTTTGTTTTAAATGCCTAAGAATGTTAGAGTTTTCATTAAAATGTAGTGTCAAGCGTCGTGTATATGTATTGGAATATATGTTGTCTACGTGGAACTTTCACTTGTTTACGGGTAAATCATCTCCCAACTATGAAGTAATATTTTCCCCTAACACATCAACAGGACTGAAATTTTACAACTTCTTAATGCAATTATGGCCTGTTTCGCTTATTCTTGAAGATGCGACGCCATTGTTACAAAGCCTGACGAGCTTTTCTCGCCCGCGGTTTGCATTTAAAAGGAAATAAAGGAAGCGTTAGTCGTAAATAAAACTGTGTGTTTTATTTAAATAGCCGCATCTCTTTCGACAAAAGTCATTTATTCTTCCGAAATTGGGACCGACACATTTTATGAACTGAGTTGCATTTTATGTTATGCGTGTTATCCAGAGTGAAATTTCGGAAAGTAAACTTTCATTAGTGATGCCAGAAATGTCGTTGTTGGGAAAATTAATCAGTACTTATTGTTATGTAAACTCGGAAAGATACACGAACTTACCGTTGCATCAGGTTGAAGCACCGGTTCCCGTAAGATCAGCGACGTAAAGTACTGTCGAGTCTGGTTAGTATCCAGGTGGGTAACCGCTTGGGAATACCAGGAACTGTAAGTTTGGATATCCGGTTGATATAATGGATAATTAATTTTCCATCGACGGGGCCCGGTTCTAATTCAAGTTGTGTTCATTAAATTCACGCGTAAGTACCCTTTGGAAAGGTATGAATCCGCGTCTTCCACCTCTTGCTTTTATCCCTAAAACTATTACTATCTAAATAAATAAAATCTTGTACAAAATATTTAGATTTCGGTGTTAAATAACCCACAGTACTTGATAGGTCTTGAAACAAAAACGACCAACCAATAGAAAAATATAGATACACGTTTTTGTGAACCATATGAGAAAAGAAGGATTCGAGAATATGACACTCCCAGGACATCTCGATGGTAAAATGGACAGAGGGAATAACCTGACTAATGATCATGTGTAAAATGATAGGACAACAGGGTGGGGAGAAATAGCAAAAAGACAAATTCTACTAAGAGTTTGAAAGAACAAGAACCGTCCTGGGTAAGACTGTAAACCTACATCCGCGTCCTGGTTAAGACGATAAACTACATCCGCGTCCTGGGTAAGACGATAAACTACATTCGCATCCTGGTTATCACGATAAACTACATCCGTGTCCAGGGTAAGACGATAAACTACATCCGCTTCCTGGGTATGACGATAAACTACATCCGCGTCCTGGGTAAGACGATAAACTACATTCGCATCCTGGTTATCATGATAAACTACATCGGCGTCCATGGTAAGACGATAAACTACATCCGCTTCCTGGTTATCACGATAAACTACATCCGCGTCCTAGGTAAGACGATAAACTACATCCGCATCCTGGTTATCACGATAAACTACACCCGCGTCCTAGGTAAGACGATAAACTACATCCGCTTCCTGGATATGACGATAAACTACATCCGCGTCCTGGGTATGACGATAAACTACATCCGCTTCTTGGTTATCACGATAAACTACATCCGCGTCCAGGGTAAGACGATAAACTACATTCGCATCCTGGTTATCGCGATAAACTACATCCGCGTCCAGGGTAAGACGATAAACTACATCCGCATCCTGGGTAAGACGATAAACTACATCCGCGCCCTGGGTATGACGATAAACTACGTCCAACAGTAAGGCCTCTGATCAGGAGGTTTTGAGATGCGTGGAATCACCTCTTAATTGCTGGTGCTTTCAGGTCCACCCTAACCCGGGGTGTTGGTACATGTTAGGGTCCCAGCTATGGGTAAATAGTTAACCCTCAAACTGGGGTCAAAAGTCTGTGAAACTGTAAAAATAGATTTTAATATCAGAAATACTTCTTTTTTTAAAAAAAATATTGCCAGCAATACATTTTTGAAGAAAAAAATATTATCAAAAATAGATTTATGAAGGAAAAAAATATTACCAGCAACAAAAAATTTTGTTGGCATTAAATAACCCATTGAGATTGATATACAGTAAAACAAAACGAACCAAAACAAACGAAGGTGAAGAAGTAGTGGAAAGCCATGATCGCCCACGTACTGAAGGAGCATGATACTGAAAATGAACTATGTTTATAATTTGATGCTTTAATTTCACTAATTTTTCATTAGCACCAGGCTCAAGAGCCCCTCCAAATAGACGGTTACTGAAGGAGCTACGTGACATGAATGTATCACTAGAAAGTTGGAAATTAGGATTATGAAGAAACGTTGATAGATAAGGATGAACCCTTGATTTGAGGATTATAACGTTCGGGGAAAGATCTATACGGGAGTCCGTGCCACAAAAAGCGGAAAAATCGGTATAAATGAGACTTTTTCTTTATAAGTTGAATATGGGGAATTAAGGATGATTCGAATCTGTGTGCGTAGCAAGAAGGGTCGGAGTTGCAAAAATATAAACGGGTAAAAGTGTAGAATGAAGATCGTCCGAGAAATTATCATAGAAATAGCGATATGTAGCGATAGGCTGGCAACGTTGTATTCTATGGAAAAGTGGGTTTCGGGGTGAAAAATAAGTCTCCACTTAAAAGGTAGTGTAAACGACTTCAAACTTAAGGATCACGCAGCTCCTGTCCAGATATGGGAGAGATACTCCATTTTGTGTCTAATCTGACTATTCTAAAACTAATAGGTAGCAGAGAGAGTTCGGAACTTTCTGAAGTGGTACAATAAAAGCGTTTACAGTAGTGCTTTTAAAATTATCTTAACAACCCGTATTTTTTTTTTTTTTTTTTTTTGTGCGAGGGCCGGGCGAACGAAGCTTTCCAATCCAAATGGCGTATTCGTAGTGCTGTACCCATAAATCTTTTTTTTTTTTTTTTTAGGTATGTCCTATTTCAGGTTCATTTTTAGTATTAAACATATGAATATGATGTCTGATTAATTCTGAGGCCCGTGATGTTTGACGTCACAAGTCTTCCTAGTGTGCCAGGGACTACTGCCATATTTGTGTCATATAATAACGACCTGAGAAATTATTATTTGAATATTTATGGTATTATTCATTAATACCATAAAAATATAAAGCATATAATAAAAAATTCGCATTTTCTTTTTTTGTTTACACTATATGGATTTTGTATATATATATATATATATATATATATATGTGTGTGTGTGTGTGTGTGTGTGTGTATGTGAACGGAGAGATAATGAAGTAACATATATAGATAAATAGATATTTTAAATCATTTTTATGTTTATACATTCTTTTTATATTGAACATTAAAGTCAACACTCAGGCGGCCTGACGATTGTGTCCAGCATGAAACAGCCTGTCACCTCTGACTATTCTAAAACTAATAGGTAGCAGAGAGAGTTCGGAACTTTCTGAAATGGTACAATAAAAGCGTTTACAGTAGTGCATTTCAAATTATCTTAACCACTGGTATTTTTTTCGATGTGCGAGGGCCGGACGAACGAAGCTTTCCAATCAAGATGGCGTATTCGTAGTGCTGTACAAAGCCACTATATATATTTTTTTTTTTAGATATGTCCTATTTGACTTCAATGTTCATTTAAATATTTATATTTACATACGCTCTCTCTTTGACTCTAGACTGGAACATAATAAGATTGTAGTGATCGAGGAAATATCCTCTTGGGAGTCAGTTCTTACTTCTCACCGATGGAGGGAATGAGGGTGCTTTGTTGCTATGTATGTAACATGGCGGGTCCTAACCGTGAAGTTTAGACTTTACGGAACCAGGAGATGAAGTTTGCCCGAGCACTTTCCATGGAAGTAGCGATAGAGCGGTGAGAGACTCGCCACAACCTGCCTGCGAGAGAGAGAGAGAGAGTTTGGAGGGTAGAAAATAATTCTCGAAGACAATTTTGAACTCTAGCAAGACTGGTAAATGAGGAATGGGCTGGCTCTTATCAAGGTAGAGGATAGCATGAAGCATCAGATACAGGGAGACGATCATTTCACCCGCATCTATAGATCGTATATAGGAGTTATACTCGAGGTCGAGTGTGAGTTTGAGGCCCAATTTTCTCTCAGGGCACGGAGCCTCCTCGAAAGAAAAATCCGTTCATCATGACAGGCAGTTGAACGGGCCTCTGATCGGCAGTGATGGAATGTAACCAGTGTGCATTTTGAGGTACTGAATGTAACCAGCCAGATCTTTCCCCGCTGGGAAGTTAGATCGGAAGAAATATCAGCTGACAATATCTGATCGTCAAGACTTTTAGAGGTGCGTCCGTATATCGTCGTATCATCGTGATAGATGTTTACACATGATCGGAGTATATTCTTAGGTAGATCATATATATATATAAATCAGAAAGAGGGTTGGTCCGAGAAATGAGACCTCGAAGAGCTCTGCGTTGACTGCCAGAGCCTCGCAGGAATGGCCGTTAATAACTACTTTCAGAGATCTACCTGCTATGAAGTATTTTATAATAGAGAAAACCTTTCCAGTGATTCCATAGATGGAGAAATTGTGTAGCAAACATTTGTTCCGCACCATGTCGGAGGCCTTCAAGATATCTAATAATATGTTCCTTGCGGTATGTTTGTAGTAGTCAAGGGCTTCTATTATTATATGAGTAATGGGAGTTAGGACATAAGCAGTGGAATCGGGCTGATCGAAACCCATACTACTCGTAGAATAAAAGTTATTCCTATCCAGGTGCTATACGGCCTTCCTGATGATTAACCCCTCAAAAAGCTCACCGATGAAACTGAGAAGGCTAATGGGTTTATAATGGGAAGGGGAGGATTGGTTTCTCGCGTTCTTGAAGAGAGCGAGCATACGCTTGATACCTTCTACATGCTTGTAAAAGATTTCCCCTTCAAGCAGCGGTTAAATAACTTTACGAGAAACGGGGATAATTCTGGATTGATCGTCTTAAGGACAACCACTGGAATTTTGTCTAGGCCAATGGTTTGTTTGGGTCGAGGTTTTTTCTTGCTGAAATCACTATATTACTGAGATTGTGCTCTGTCAGACGTCCTTAGGGAGGAGATAGCCTTTTTTATCTAACTTGAGTTTGAGGCAAAGATCCAGCTGAAGAGCTTCGCCTGCCGAACTTGATATAACCCCGGGTCCATTTATAATATTAGGCACAATCGCTTTGCCTCTGTTTAGAATTTGGTTGGTGATCTTCCAGAATTTGAGAGATTTTCAACCTTGACCTGGATAGATCGCGTGTAACTGCACTTTGCGTTTTCGAGGATTCTCTTACAGCGAATGTGCGCGGTTCTGAAAGAAGCAAAATCCAGACTATTCCGTTCCTTGCAATAGATTATGAAATAGTGGTCCCGGTGAAATATGGCTGTAGTGTATTCAGGGTTGAACCAGAGATGATCGGTTTATACTGGTATATTTGTGGGAGCATAAAACAACCCATCCCAGAAAGGGTCCATTCGGAGATTAGGGCATCAATTTCGGTGGGAGTATGTTTAAAGAAGGTTGGGATGGGAGACTCTCTTATATCGGACCGAAAGCTGTCCCAGTCTGTGTCCGCGTAGCGAAAAACCGCTGTATGGAACATCGGGGGATGTTATTGGTTTGGAATCAAATTTGATAAGGATATTGTCAATTCTCTCTGATATTCGATTGAGGATTACCGACCCTTCATCCCGAAGACGATACAAGGCAATGACAACGCCAATCCCCCCACCAAAAAAACGTTTACCAACAACACTCTTAATGAGAGGACAAATAAACCAGGAATGATTCAGACGTGACACTCCTAGTGAACGTGTCTCGTCTGTTTAGGTATCAGGGCAAAAGAAATTGAGCCAGAAACATCGTGCCAGGTACCAAGGCAAACACGTTGATATATCTGGGTAGTAAAAGAAACATTGGAATATGTGTCATTCGCAGACAGTACTGTTTCGCTCTATCACAGATCCTCAGTGCGAATAGATATCCGAATTGATGTTACTCAGAGTATCTACGACTGAGTTATCATTACTCGAGAAAGAGAAACATCTAATTCTAGCGTGTTGTTTTTACGAATGTAAACAAATGCCAATCAATCGGAGCATTAACGCGGGTTGTTGTTGTAGAATCAGCTTATCTCTCAACAGCTTATGTCATTTGCAAACAGTAGTGCGACAGGACCGAAATCAGACCGACTTGGTGTCAGTGTTTCTGCCACTGAGCTATTATCATTATTCGACAGAGAGAAACAGCTTTACGAAGGGGGATTCAATTCATTTTACACACACACAGACATACATACATACATACATATATATATATATATATATATATATATATATATATATATATATATATATATATAAAAGTGAACATAGAAGTCAACACTTAGAGGCGACAGTCTGTTTCATGCTAGATGCAATCCGAAATCTAGCATGAAACAGACAGTCGCCTCTATGTTGACTTCTATTTTCACTTTTATATTTACACACGCTCTATCTCTGATATTGGGCACTTTATCCCATGAATATAGCACATCTTAAGACTATATTTCTTTTTATATATATATATGCGTGTGTGTTTTCGTTTGTAAAAACAATACGCTAGATTTAGCTGATTTGCTCTGTCGAATGAAGATGGCTCCGTGGTAGAAGGTCTGTCTGAATCGGTTGGGCTTCGATCCGTGCTTGAGGCGTTCTGTTGCCGTACTGAGGAGTTGCGGAACAGTACTGTTTATGAATATATATATATATATATATATATATATATATATATATATATATATATATATATTCTCGAGTCTCCGTCGAATTGACGTATGAGGGTCAAGCACTTCAGTTCCTAGGAACCCGAGAGCCCGACACTAGCACATGAGATATGATTATAGTGGTGAATGTTTCGTGCAGGACCATCCACATTTTTCAAAGGCTGAATGCTGAGACCTGGTGCAATACGTGCCACAAGGCCTCCAACCGACACTCCGCAGATTCTTGCTAGAGAATATACTGTGTGTACACACACACACACACACACACACACATATATATATATATATATATATAGTATATTAGGAAATGAACTAAGGCCAACAATTATTTTCATATATTTATCCTTATACGGTATTTATATAGATTTATATAAATGCTCTGTTTATAAGTAACATTGTTAACAACATTTACCGCTCTAAATGTCCGAGAAATCTCATCGAAAATATACGTCTTCCGACAGGAATCGAATCTGTATCGTACACCGTCATATAGCCTAACGTGCTATACTAGTTTTAGCTACGAAGGTTATGCTTGATTAGCAATATCAAATTACTGCTTTTAAACTACAAACTTCCCAGGATTTTCCTCAAATGTTCATATCTACTCGAAGCCAATCTTAACGTATACAAATGACGTCATTTATTATGAAATGGACTTATTATTTTAATATATTTATTGTTAAACATTATTTATATATGCAGAAACATTTTAAGTAAATGCTCTGTTTGTAACAAACAGTATAAACAACATTTACCGGCCTCAACGTCCGTGAAATCTCATAGAAAATATGCGACCTTCGACCTTATTAAACAGACGCTCCTTTGTAGCTAAACTGGTGTAGCACATCAGGCTATGTGACGATTCCGTGTAGGATACAGGTCCGATTCGTTTTTTTGTAAAAAGATTTATATTTTTCAATGACTTTTTCAAGTATTTTTGACAATCTTGATCATTACCTGCAACTGGGTTTTGTCAGTACTGTAAACAAGATTTTCGACTAAGTCCAGACGTTTTTAGATTACTGAAACTGGAATCTGTTCAAAGGAATGTCATACGTAAAGGTCAGACGGATATATATATATATATATATATATATATATATATATATATATATATATATATATATGTGTGTGTGTGTGTGTGTGTGTGTATTGTAGTATATATATATATATATATATATATATAATGTGTGTGTGTGTAAGAGAGAGAGAAAAGAAAGAAAAAATGAGTGTGGGCGTGTACATAGATAGATAGAAGGATAGATAGACTGACAGATAGCCACGCACACACACATAACTCACACACTCATATATATATATATATATATATATAGAGAGAGAGAGAGAGAGAGAGAGAGATAGAGAGATAGATAGATAGATAGATAGATAGATAGAAGCAGAGAGATGGAGATAGCGAAATACAGAGAAAGAGAAACAGAAAAAAAGAGAAAAAAAGCGAGAAAGAGACAGGGTTATAGAAAGAAAGAAACAAATAAAGAAACAAAGAAAGAAAGAATGAATTTTAGAGAAGGGACAAAAACGAACGATATATGAAGTATAAAGTAGAACTATGGTAGAAAGAAAGGAAGAAAGAAACAAAGAAAGAAAAAAAAGAAACAAAGCAAGAAAGAAACAAACAAACAAAGAAGTGTTTAAGGTCTCCTATGAATACGTCATAAACATGGCCTATTACGTTTTTTTTCCCTTGGAAAGATTGAGAAAAAGAAGGAAGGAAGGAAAGCAAGCAATGTAGCAAGCAAGAAAGAAAGAAAGAAAGAATGTTTCTCATCATTCTCATTTGCAGGGTTATAGACAGACAGATATAGAGACACACAAACAAACAGATAGATAGATAGATAGATAGATAGATAGATAGATAGATAGATAGATAGAAAGAAAGAAATAATGTTTCTCACCATTCTCATTTGCAGGGTTATAGACAGACAGATATAGAGACAAACAAACAAACAGATAGATAGATAGATAGATAGATAGATAGATAGATAGATAGATAGATAGATAGATAGAAAGAAAGAAATAATGTTTCTCACCATTCTCATTTGCAGGGTTATAGACAGACAGATATAGAGAAAAACAAACAAACAGAAAGAAAGAAAGAAAGAAAGAAAGAAAGAAAGAAAGAAAGAAAGAAAGAAATAATGTTTCTCATCATTCTCATTTGCAGGGTTATAGACAGACAGATATACAGACAAACAAACAGATAGATAGATAGATAGATAGATAGAAAGAAAGAAAGAAATAATGTTTCTCACCATTCTCATTTGCAGGCTTTCGAGCGCAAGAAATCGCCTGGGTTTCAAACGTTCATTTTCCAAAGGGTCTCCTCGTTCTTGAACAATTGACGCAATACAATATCAGCACCATGAATTGTCTGAGTGATTGCAGAAGGAAGATGTTGCTTGCGACGCCTGGGGAGAAAGTCGATACATTTTCGATACGGTACCAGTCATGAACTTGTTTATTTGATATTCCCAAAGATAAGGACCAAAAATAGTAATTTTTTACATGGTTTCTACAGCTTCACAATTTTGTATTTTGTTCTTTTCTCTTCTAGTCAACGCAGACCAGTCAAGATATTCCACTAATAAAATTCTTGCAATTTTTCTGTTTTGTCATTTAGGTCGCTTGCAAATATAAGCCTGAAGACATTGATAGAAAAAAGTATAAAATAAAACCGCGTAATCGATATATTAAAAAAAACACACGCATAGATACATTAATAATTTAGTTATTTATTTTAAAAAAATTTTTGTAATACGGCATCTAATATTTTTTGTCATTATAAAAGTTTGGAAAATAATTGGTTAGCAAGAACGTATTCGTTCTTTTTCCTATCAAATTAGTCACCGCCACGAAATTGCTAAAAAGTTAGTATACCGTGAGGCAAAATATGCTTTCAAGGTAATGAAAACGAATTTTTATCGTCAAAATCTTTGTTACTATTAAGAGGAAAGATCAAAGCATTTTTTGATTCATTGAATTACATTTTTTACTCATTTTTAGAACATTCGAAACTTTGGTTAAAAAAGCTTGATTTTCTTGCGTCAGCCGTTGTATTAACTTTTAGCATAATAAATTTTATCCTCTTTTTTTTTTACAGTGACAGACGTTAATTTTGAAATTCTTGCAAAAATCAATAATTGTCGGATTTTTAATGAATTTTTTAGGACTTATTCACAAGTGAATTAATTTATATTTTAAAGTTTTGTATTAGAAAATTTTGGTAAAAATATTTTTTTTTACATGTGTCTCTCTCCCTTATTTAATGTTATGAAAACTTGAGAAATTCAAAGTGATAATTTTAGTGACTATATTAGTAAAAGCGGAATTCTTTGAAGAATTTAAATCATCGAATTTATTTTGCAAAATGGAACCTCGTCTTACCAAAACGTTGTCCTGAATAGAGAAAATAAAAAAACGCAATAAAACTCAGACATTATTTAATTATTTAATCAAAGAAGCATTTAATTGATTTTATGAATACTATATATGAAAAACAATATTGTTTGAAGAAAAAAGAAAATTTTCGATGAAAAATAAATTTTGACAAGATTTGTTTTCATTTTTTACAATTATAAATTGAATAATTCATACGGTTTTAAATATTTTAAAATTCAGTTTCAATGTGATCATTCTTAGGGAATGTTGTTATTAAGTAAAACTATATTTACTAATAATATATTTAAAGTTTATTACGATCTGACGACCCCGAATATTTTTAAAAGAATTTCGATTTGTGTTTTATATTTGTATATAGGTGCAGAATTTATGAAGTATGGTTATACAAACCAATAAAGCTATCATTGAAAGGTCACGTGTTTTAAGGATTAAACCCACTTATATAATTTATCGTCTGCTCCTCAATACTTAACTATGAAAACGTTCGGCGTCAATCGTCTGCCAATAAATCAACTAACACGTCAGAAATAAACAAAACCCACTGGTTATGAATGCTTGTATTTGTTTCAAATCCGATTAATTTTACTTTAAATTTGTTAAATTCTCTCAAATAACATTTCAAGATTTTTATAATCGAGAATAAACTTTTGTTTACAAATCTATCAAAATGGCCGTTTTTATCGATTTTACTGAAAATAATCGATTCCGATCAATATAATTTCTGCTTGAAATACACAAGGTATTTTGGAAATAGTAAATCATTTAGCTTACAATTAAAGCTAAAATGAAAACTTCAACAAATCTTTTTTAAAAATAATGTAAAACTTTACGTAAACCGAATTAGTGAATGTACATTATATTGAATAGAACATATGGATGTTTTAGGTACATATGCCCGTATAGTCATTATTAGTATATTTCTTGGATTACTTCTTTTCTTCGATTTCGCAATCGGTCAAAAGTTAAAGTTTTGTTTCGGGTTCCAAATGAAATAGCTTGTCTCCAAATATTTTCCTTCGGTATTTCTTAGAATAGTTAAGAATTTTCCAAAGAAATACTAACCAGACATTACTACAATAAATGCATTCGCATTCACATTTGCAAGTATATTTCCAATGCCGGCATTACTGATTCTACACTTTCGAGAGCGCTTTCAAATATGAATTTGGTTCAAGAAAGTGAATTTTCAGTGAGAGGAATTTATTTTATTTCCAACCCAATGACATGACATTAGAGATTTTGGAACAGAAATTCGGATATAATTTTTATTTTGTTTCATAATTTCATGTAATATTCTTTTCTTCTTCTTCAAGATTCCAGAATAGACATTTCTGTTCAAAATGGGCGGGAAAAGAACACCTCTTTTATTTAGGATGTATTTATCTTTTGCTTATTATTTTTAGCTTTGGATTTCGGATGCAAGAAATGGCCTCCATATTTGCTGTAATCTATTCTTTCTCGTTCCCTACGTTTTTTTCTTCGTTGTTTTTTTCTTTTCTTCCATTTTGGATAAATTTTCTTTTTTCCATTTTGTCATCCATTTTCTTTTTTTAACGTTTCTGAGATCATGTTCTTCTACTTAATGTTATTTCTTTCGACCTCTCTTTTTTTAACGTTTCTGAGATCATGTTCTACTTAATGTTATTTCTTTCAACCTCTCTTCTTTCTTTCATTTTTTCTTTCTTTGATTTTATTGCTTCCTTTTTTTTATTTATTTTTATTTTCTTTTTTTTATTTCGAATTTTTATTTTCGAAAATTCTCTTTTATTTTTAATTCTTTTCTCTTTTCATTTGAAATTAAATTATTGCTTCCTTTCTGTTCTCTTTCCTTTTATTCATGTTCATTTTTTTTCTTTCTCTTCAGTTCCACGCTTTTTATTTTGCGTTTCCTTTAATTGCTGCTTTATTCTTTCATTCATCATTTATTTCTTTATATCTTTCTTTCATTTCTGTTCTTCCTTTCTTTTCTATTTAGCGCTTTGTGCCTTTCTTTCTTTCCATCTTTCTTTCTTTCATTCTTCTTGTTTTGTTACTTTGTTTATTGGCCTTGAGTGTTTTTATATCTATCTCAGTTTATTTTAAATTCATTTCGTTCTTTCTTTCTTTCTTTCTTTCTTTCTTTCTTTCTTTCTTTCTCCCTTCATTGTTTCCTCACGTTCACTCTGTTTTTGGTGTTTCCTTTCTCGTTTCTTTCTTTCTTTCATTGTTGGATTTATTTTTAATCTATTTTTTTACCCCAGTCATTCTTTCTTTCTTTCTTTCTTTCTTTCTTTCTTTCTTTCTTTCTTTCTTTCTAACATTATAGCGAAATGAACGGAAGTTGAATTTGGTAATATATGCGCTACTCGCTAATCCAATGCACACACACACACACACACACACACACACACACACACACACACACACACACACACACACATATATTCTGTTTACATGTTATTTTTATTTATATATATATATATATATATATATATATATATATATATACATCGCGACACGGAAATTTCTGTTTCGGAACATAAGTCTGTTCCATTATCAAGAGATTTTGGGTAGCTTTTGATGAAAATCACATAGAATTGACAAAACAAATGAGAGAGAAATTTCCGTGTCACGATGTAGAATAGTTTTAATAAAAAATATTATGATATCATGCTCTACGTTGAATCGAGAACTTAAAAAAAAAATATAAAAAGAACTGTCGACTTTAAACCTGGCTCTTTATTTCGGAACACACACACACACACATATATATATATATATATATATATATATATATATATATATATATACGTATGTTAAATATATACATCCACAGACAGACTGTTTCGCAGCTCATCAGTGTGGTTAGACATCCGGTTGCCTCAAGCCGGGATCGAAAACCGACTGATTTTACCCCTAAGCCATTGTCGCACGGGATGGGTGAAGTTGAATTTAGACGTATTTACGTTTAGACAAACACGCCAGAGACCGGAAAACTCGGTTCGTTTTAACGAAGACTTTTCCATCAGCAAATGTTCACAAATTCGCTTTTCTCCCCGAAGAACTCAGCCAAAATGTCAAATGTTTAGTAGCCCTGTTTAAAATAAATGCACCATTTTTTATTTCAAACACTGTCTATCGGCCTGCACATTCGAGAAATATCAATAAAGAAAATGTGCTCTCTAGTAGGGCTCAAACCTGCGCCTCCTTTGTAAGAAAAAAAAAACACCATCGTTGGATCTCAGCGTTTGGCACTTCGAAAGTGAAAAAGAAATATCACGGGTTGAATCAAGGAAATTTGCTAGACGGAACTATTTGAGAATTGTGTTGGCGCGAATTCACAAGTCATCGGGACCGAGGGTTTCAGTGTGCTGGACCTGTTCAGACTGTTGATTACACTAGATAACGCGGTCTTTCCCAGAAAATGTAACTAAGGTTCGCCCAGCTTTGTTGCAGTATACACCACAGGTGGGTACTGTAGGTGTTGAACGAGCACAAATGGGCCTGAGTAGGCCTCTGCAACAGGGAATGGCTAACCGCTCTAGCATAAACCAATGAAGAGCTTCAAAGAGTGTTTGAACGAATCTCTTGCAGCCTGACATATAGAAGATACTGCGTGGGAAACCTCTTCTTGTGATCTAAATAAATGGGGTCATTTCGATATTCCAAGAGCTTGCAATGAGTTGGTCAAATGCCAAGCGTAAAGGTAGGGAAGTGGGAATCGTTGATCCATCCATCAATTTACATGAACATGGCCAAGCATGTCTCTGCAATGCAGGACTTGTTAGCCCAAAGAAAAGTCATATTGATAGAAGCTAGAATCTCTAGAAATAGTAAGTATGCCATTTATAGAGATGTGTCCCACCCGCCTGGAAATTTGAAACCAAAGTAGCTATTATCTTCTGCAAGAAAAGTCGGTTCACTGTGTCGTGCCAGAAGTTTTTCTTTTTCTCGTCAGAATCCATCTTGCGCATTTACAAATCTACCATTCATCCATGCATTGAATACTGCTGTCATATATGGTCTGTTGTCCCGGCTGTTCATTTCGTAGTTCTCGAAAAAAAAAGCCAAAGAAGGATCTGCAATGTAATCGGCCCTGATTGACATCTCGATAACAGCCACTTTCTCAAAGACGTAATGTCGCTTCCCTCTTTCTTTTCTACAAATATTTTCATGGCAACTGTTCTGATGAGCTATCTTCCTTGAATGCCCCGACTACATAAATTTAAGTGTACTACTAGATTAGTATCTTGCTGTTGAAATAGTTAAATCCAACCGCTACTTTTACTCCAGCAGTTTCTTTTCACGCGCTTCCGACAGATGAACTCCCTTCCGCTTACATGCTTACCTCATAACTAAAATCTTCAAAATTTTAAATGCAACGTCAATCAACAAATTCTGTTGCCTTGATTCCCGTTCTTCTTTTATCCTTTCCCTCTATTCACATTTTTTTCTCTCACATTCACCCTATGTAATCCCCCCCCGCGTGCTAGCGGAACTCCCGCTTTGCTTTGGGTGAAATGCTTAAAAAAAAAGACATAGTTTCGCATGCTGCGACAATGAAGTCGAATTAGTGTCATGTGCCAGCTATCTACGTCGTGCTTTGTTCTGTTATTTGTTTGTCCGTTCAAACGATACATCAATGAATTTGAAAGACATTTCGAACTTAGGTTTTTATCATTTCAATTATTCGCACCTTTCCAGATATTTTTTTTGCATCGAAGTCGTCGATCACCTGCTGCCTAGATTTTGAAAGTTTATTTTTGTTTCTTTACTTGTTTTGGAAAAGGAACGTGACTTTAAAAAAATTCTTTGAGGAGATACTAAAGTAGCACAGAGAACTTAAAACACACGACAAATAAAAGTTTGGAGACAACTTTCTACCTTAGCACACCAAATACGATACGGAGAGTGATATATTCACTGAGCAGTCCAGGAGTTTTGCAGTATCAAGTAACGATTGAATTTCATGTTAATAGTTACAGATACAGCATTTCTAAATACGTTTATGGCTAAATTTCGTCTGTGTATAAACAGCTTATATCAGTAGAATATAATAGCCCGCACTTTGTACATATAATAACATGAGTTGACGAATGTTTATATCAAATGTGAAAGAAGGCATATGGTTGAAAAAATGCAAATAACGGTGACAAGTTAACGTAAAGAGAAGAAAGAAATTAAGAATAGAAAGAAAAATTTATTTTTTAGACGTTTTAAAACTGGTTTGGTTTGGTTTGATATGGTTTGGTTTGGTTTGATATGGTTTGGTTTGATTTGGTTTGGAGTGTTTTACAGGATATCTACTTTAATGGATTATTTAATACCGGCTATGTTTTTATTGCTGATAATATTTCGTTTTGTCAAAAATCTATTTCTGGTAATAATTTTTTTCTTTCACAAATGTATTGCTGGAAATATATATATATTTTTTAAAAGTATTGCTGGTAATATTTTTTTCCTCAAGAATGTATTGCTGTTAATATTGTTTTCTAAAACGTATTGTTAGTAATATTTTTTTCAAGAATGAATTGCTGGTAATAGTTTTTTCTTCAAAAATTTATTGCTGAAAATATTTTTTTTTACAAAGTATTCCTGGTATTAAAACACATTTTTACCCCAGTTTCTGGGTTAACTATTTGCCCGTTACTGGGACCCTAAGAGGTGCTACCACCAGGGTCAGAGTGGACCTGGGAACACCAGAAATTAAGACGTGGTTCCACGAGAAAAAAAACATCTGATCATAGGTCTTGCTGCTGGAAAAGTAAAAGGATGGACGGATGAAGTTTAGTCATTACTCTTTTTTAAAAAACTAAAAAATGAATTAGAAAGAAAGAAAAAAGGGATGAAGTAAATTGTAAAAAAAAGGAGAGAAAGAAAAGAAAGAAAGAAAGAAAAAGGGAAGAAAGAAAGAAAATTGAAAAGAAAAAGAAAAAAAGAAGAAAAAAAGAAAAAGAAAAGAAAAAAAAAAAGATTGGGGTCAATAGCAGAAAAGAAAGAAAATGGAAAGAAAAAGATGAAAAAAAATGAAAGAAAAGAAAAGGAAAGAAAAAAAGAAAGAAAAAAGAAGAAGGGATGAAAGGAAAGAAAGGAAAAGAAAGAAAAAAAAAAAAAGAAAGAAAGAAAGAAAGAAAGAAAGAAAAATGGAAGAGAAAAAAAAGGAAAAAAAAAGATTGAAAAAGGCCCAAAAGATAAAGTGAAAAAGAGATGGAAAGAAAAGGAAAAAAAAGAACGATTAAAAAAGAAAAGAAAAAGGAAATAAAGAAAGAAAGAAGATGGATAAAGAATGACTAAGAAAGAAGAAAAAAAAAGAAAAGAAATTGGGGAGAAAAATAGTCAATAGCAGAAGAAGAAAAGAGATGAAAAAAAGAAATAAAGAAAGAAAGAAATGGAAGATTCTGAAAAAAAAAAAAGAAAAAAGAAATAGACTAAGGAGAGAAAAAAAACATTTCAAAGCAGAACGAAAAAGAAAAAAGAAAAAGAAAGAAAGAAAAAAAAGAAAAGAAAGAAAGAAAAAAAGAAGAGAAAGAAAATGAAAGGCCCATATTGAAAGAGATGGAAAAAGAAGAAATTAAAAAAAAAAAAAAAAAGAAAGAAAGAAAGAAAAGAAAGAAGAAAAAAAGATTGAAAGAAAAAAAAAGAAGAACGAAAAAAGAGATGGAATAAAAGATAGACTAAAAAAGTCAAAAGAAAAAATGGATAAAGAAGAAAGAAAAAGAAAGAAAGAAAAAAAAAGAAAGAAAGAAAGAAAAAAGAGAATCAGGTGAAAGGCCCATATTGAAAGAGATGGAAAGAAAAAAAAAAAGGAAAGATAGACTAAGGAGAAAAAAAAAGATTGCTTTCAATAGCAGAAAAAGATGGGAAAAAGAAAAAGATGGGAAAAAAGAAAGAAAAAGAAAAGAAAAAAGAAAGAAAGAAAAGAGAAAGAAAAGCAAAAAAAGAAAGAAAATCGAAAATGAAAGATAGAAAAAAGAGAAAGAAAGAAAAAGAAAAAAATGGAAAAAATGAAAAAGTAAGAAAAGAAGGTGAAAAAAGCCCAAATAAAAAAAGAAAAAGAGATGGAATAAAAAGAAAAAAAAGGAGAAAAAAAAGGAAAAAAAAAGATAAAATTGAAAAAAAAGAAAGGGAAAAAAAAGAAAAGAAAGAAAGAAGAGAATCAGGTGAAAAGGGGAAAAATGGAAAGAACGAAAAAAAGAAAACAAAAAAAAAAAAAGAATGAGAAATAAAGAAAGAAAAAAAAATGGAAAATGAAAAAAAAAGAAAAAAAGAAAAAAAAAAGAAAGAAAAGAAAGAAAAAAAAGAAGAGAAAGAAAGGCCCATATTGAAAAAGAAGAAAAAGGAAAAAATCAAGAAAGAAAAAAGAGAAAAAGATATTGAAAGAGAGAGAAAAGAGAAGAAAGAAAAGAGAAAGAGAGAGGAAAGAAAAAAAAACGAAGAATTGACCTTGTAAGAAAAAAAAAGAAAGAAGAATGAAAAAAAATAAAAAAGAGAAAAATTGAAAAGAAAGAAAGAAAGAAAGAAAAAAGAAAAGAATAGAAGGAAAGAGAAAAAAAGAAAGAAAAAAAAAAGGAAAAGATAAAAAGAAATGAAAAAAGAAAGAAAGAAAAGAAAGAAGACCCTTTAAAAAGAAAAAAAAAAGAATCAGGTGAAAGGCCCAAAGAAAAGATGGAAAAAGAAAAAAAAAGAAAAAAAGAAAGAAAGAAAAAAAGATTGGGGTCAAAAGCAGAACGAAAAAAAGAAAAATATAAAAATTAAAATTGAAAAGAGATGAAAGAAAGAAAGAAAGAAAAAATGGAAAGAAAGACTAAGGAGAAAAAAAAGATAAGGATGAAAAGAAAGAAAGAGGGTAAAATAGCAGAACGAAAAAGAAAGAGATGAAAATGAAAAAAGAAAAAGAAAGAGAAAAAAAAAAGAAAAAAAAGAAAGAAAAAAAAGAAAAAAAGAAAGAAACTAAAGAAAGAAAGAAAAAAGAAAGAAGAAAGAAAGGTGAAATGTGAAAGGCCCATATTGAAAGAGAGAAAAAAAAGGAAAGAAAAAGAAAAATAAAAGCAGAAAAAGATGAAAAAAAAAAGAAAGAAAAAAAAGAAAGAAAAAAGAAAGAAAAAAAAGAAAGAAAAAAAGAAAAAAAAAAAAATGTGAAAAAATTGAAAAGAAAAAGAACGAAAAAAGAAAGAAAAAACTAAGGAAGAAAAAAAAAAGAATCAAAAAGGCCCAGAAGAGAAGAAAAGAAAAAAAAAAAATAGACTAAGAGAAAAGATGGAAAAGAAGAAAAAGAAAAAAAGAAAGAAAAAAAAAGAAAGAAAGAAAAAAAAAAGAAACTGTGAAAAAAAAGAATGGAAAGAAAAAAAAAAAAAAACTAAAAGAATAAAAGAAAGGAAAAAAAAAAAAAAGAAAAACCCGAAAAAAAAAAAAAAAAAAAAAAAAAAAAAAAAAAAAAAAAGAAAAGAAAGAAAAAAAGGAAAAGAGAGAAAAAGAAAAACGAAAAAAGAATGGATAAAAAGAAAAAAAGAAAGAAAGAAAGAAAAAAAAAGAAGGTTTCAATTAGCAAGAAAAAGAAGAAAGAGATAGAAAAAGAAAGAAAAAAGAAAGAAAGAAAAAAAGAAGAGAAAGTGAAAAGAAAGAAAGATGGAAAAAAAGGAAAGAAAGATAGAAAGAAGAGAAAGAAAGAAAAAGAAAGAAAAGAAAGAAAAAAAAAAAGAAAAAGAAAAAAGAAAGAAAAAAAAAAAGAAAAGAAAAAGGAGAGAAAAAGATTGAAAAGAGATAAAAAAAAATGAGAAAAAAAGAAAAAAGATGAAAGAAAGAAAAAGGGAAAAAGAAAAAGAAAGAAAAAAAAAGAGAAAGAAAGAAAATAAAAGAAAGAAAGATTGAAAAAAATAGAAAAAAGAAAGAGAAAAAAAGAAAGAAGAAAGATTGGGGAAGCAGAACGAAGAAAAGAATGGAAAAGAAAAGAAAGAAAGAAAGAAAAGAAAAGAAAGAAAGAAAGAAAAAAGAAAGAAAAAAGAATGAACAGAAAGGTGAAAAAGGCCCATATTGAAAAGAAAGAAATGGAAAAATTTCGGATATAAAAAAAAGATTTTCCAAAAGACTTAAACTTAAAAGAGAAAAAAAAAAGAAAAGAAAAAAGAATCCTCAAATATGCAGAACGAAAAAAAAGAAAAGATGGAAGAAAAAAAGAAAAATAAAAAGAAAGAAAAAAAAAGAAAGAAAGAAAGAAAAATGAAAAAAAAAAAAAAGAAAAAAAGAAAAGAAAAGGAAAAGGCCCAATTGAAAGAGATGGAAAAGAACGAAAAAAAAAAGATAGAAAGGAGAGAAAAAAGAAGTTAAATACAGAACGAAAGAAAGAATGGATAATGAAAGGAAAAGAAAAAAAACCCAAAGAAAGAAAGAAAAAAGAAAGAAAAAAAGAGAAATCTTAAAAATAAATATGAAAAAAAAAAGAAAGAAAAAAGAAAGAAAAGAAAGAATGAAAAGAAAAAAAAAAAAAAGAAAAGAAAGATGGAAAAACAAAAAGAAAAAAAAAAAAAAAAAAAAGAAGAAAGAACGAAAAAATGAAAGAATCTGAAATGAGATGGACAGAACGATAAAAAAAAAAAAGAAATAGATAAAGAATAAATCAAGAAAAGACTTTTTGAAAAGAAAAAAAAAAAGAAAAATGGAAAGAACAAAAAAAAAAAGAAAAAAAAAAAAAAAAGAAGAAAGGATACTGACATAAAAAAGAAAAAAGGAAAAAAATTTAAAAAGAAAGAAAAAAAGGGTTAAGATGGAAAAAGAAAAAAAAAAAAAAATAATGGATTTTCTTATATTTTTAAAGAAAAAAAAGAAAGAAGACCAAAAAAAATTTAAAAAGAAGATGAACAAAAAAGGCCTATATTGAAAAAGATGGAAGAAAAGAAAGAAGACTAAAAAAAAAAAAGAAAGGAAAAAATAAAAAAAAGAAAAAAAAAGAAAAAAGAAAAAGCATTTAAACTGGAAATCATTGTGTTTTTTAGAAAAAAGAATTAGAAAAAAGGAAAAAAAAAGAAAGAAATAAAAAAAAGAGATGGAAAGAAAGAGAGAAAGGAAATTTCAATAAGGAGAAAAAAAGAAAAAGATATTGAAATCAATATATAAAAAAAGAACGAAAAGAACAAAAAGGAATTTATGAGAAAAGAGAAATATAATCAAAAGAAAATTATGAAAAAGAAAAGAAAGAAAAAAAGAAAAGAAACAAAAAGAATAAAAATATTAAAGAAATATATATAAAGAAAGAAAAAAAAAGAAAACTGAAAGAAAGAAAGAATGGAAAAGAAAAAAAATAGAAAAAAATGAATGGAAAAAAGAGAAAAAAAAAAATGGCGAGTTGCACTATTAGAGAACATTTTAAAAAAAAAAAAGAAAAAAAGAAAAAAACGAAGAAAAGGAAAACAAAAAAAGAAAAAAATAAAAAATGAAAAAAGAAAAAAGAAAAAAGAACTAAAGAAAAAAAGATATAAAAAAAAAGAAAAAAATTATGTTTAATGAAAAAAATTATTAGAGGTCAAAGCAGAATGAAGAAAGAGAACGAATTAAAAAAAAGAGAAAATAAAAAAAAGAATAAAGATTATATGAGCGAAAAGAATTGAAAGAAAAACGAAAAAAAAAAAAGAAAGAAAAAAAAGGAAAAGAAAATAAAAAAAAAAGAAAAGAAAAAAAAAAGAAATGAAAAAAAAAAGCTCAAAAAGGAAAGAAAAAAAATTTTTTTGAAAAAAAATTATACTAAAAGAAAGAAATGAAAAAAAAAAAAAGAAAAAAATTCTTAAAAAAAAAAAAAAAAAAGAAAATCAGTGCCCAAAATCGTTAAAAAAAGAAAGAAAAAAAAAAAAAAAACTAAAAAAGAATGAAAAAAAAAGAAAAAAAAGAAGAAATGAATGAGAAAAAAATTGGGGAAAGAAAAGAAAAAAAAAGAAAAGAAAAAAGAAAAAAAAAGAAAAAAAGAATGAAAAAATAAATAGAAAAAGAAGAAAAAAATTAAAGAAAAGGTGAAAAAAAGAAAAATAAAAAAAGAAAAAAAGAAAAGAAATCAGGAAAAAAAAAAGAAAAGAATGAAATTTAAAAAAACTAAATTATTTAGGTGAAAAATACACAAAAGATGGAAAAAAAAAAAATCTATGAGAAATAATTTAAAAAATTTTAAAATAAAAAGAAAGAAAAAAAATTTTCATGGGTTAGAATGATTGGGGAAAAGCAGATGAAGAAAAATAAAAAAAATGAAACATTTTAAAGAAAAGGTGAAAGAAAACGAAAGAAATAAAAGAAAAAAAAAATGTGTGGAAAGTAGAAACGATTTGATGAAAAAGATGAAAAAAAAAAAAAGAAAGAAAAAAAAAAAAAAAAAGAAAAAAAAAAAAATTTTTAAAAAGGCCCAAAAAAGAAATAAAAAATTTTTAAAAAGAAAAAAAAAAAAAAAAAAAAAAAAAAAAAAAAAAAAAGAAAAAAAAAAAAAAGAAAATGGAAAAAAAAGAAAAAAAAAAAAAAAAAAATTGAAAAAAAAAGAAAAAAAAAAAAGAAAAAAAAAGAAAAGATGGAAAAAAAAAAGAAAAAAAAAAAAAGAAAAAAAAAGAAAAAAAAAAAGAAAGAAAAAAAAAAAAAAAAAGTAAAAAGATGGAAGGAGAAAAAAAAAAAAAAGAGAGGAAGAGCAAAGAAAAAAAAAAGAAAGAAAAAAAAAATAAAGGAAAAAAAAGAATTTAAAACAAAAATAAAAATCTTTGGAATAAAAAAAAGGAAAAAAAGAAAAAAAAGAAAAAAAAAAATTTAAAAAAAGAATGAAAAAACGAAAAAATAAAAATCAAAAGAAAAAAAAAAAAAGAATTTAAAATAGAAAAAAAAAAAAAAAAAAAAAAAAAGAAATAAAAAAAAAAAAAATAAATAAAAAAAGAAAAGAAAGAAAAAAAAAAAAAAAAAAAAAAAAAAAAAAAATATGAAAAAAAGATAGAAAAAAAGAAAGATAAATGAAAAAAAAAAAATAGAAAAAAAAGAAATGAAAAAAAAAAGAAATCAGAGAAGAAAAAAAAGGAAGAAAGAATGAAAAAAAAAAAAAAAAGAGAAAGAGAAAAAAAAGAGAAAAAGAAAGAAAAAAAAAAAAAAAGAAAGAAAAAGTTATTTTTTTGAAAAAATTGAAGAAAGAAAAAAAAAAAAAGAAAAGAAAAGAAAAATAGAAAAAAAGAAAAGAAAAAAAAAGAAAAAAGAAATGAAAAAAGAAAGAAAAAAGAAAGAAAAGAAAAAAATGAAGTGTTTTTTCTTGAAAAAAAAAAAAATTATAAAAAAAGCAAAAAGAAAGAAAAAGAAAGAAAAAAATAAAAAGAAATAAAAAAAAAACGAAAAAAAAAAAAAAATTAAAAGAAAAAGAAAAAAAATGGAAGGAAAGATCTGGAAAGTGGAGAAAGAAAAAAAATAAAAAAGGAAAGAAAGAAAAAGTTCTTAAAAGAAAAGAAAAAAAAAACGAAAGAAAGAGAAATGGATGAAAAAAAAAAAAGAACGAAATTCGAAAAAAAGAAAAGAAAAAAAAAGAAAAAAAGAAAAAAAATGGAAAAGGAAAAAGAAAGAAAAAAAAAAAAAAAAAAAGAGGGAAAAAAAAAAAAAAGAAAAAAAATTGAAAAGAAAAAAAAAAAAAAGGAACCTCAGACTAAAAAAAAAAAAAAAAAAAAAAAATGAAAAAAAAAAAAAAAGAACGAAAAATAAAGAAAAGAAATGAGAAAAAAAAAAAACGAAAAATGGAAAGAAAAGAAAAAAAAAAATAGAAAGAATAAAAATAAAAATAAAGAAAGAAATAAAAAAAAAAGAAAGAAAGAAAAGAAAAAAAAGAAAAAAAAAATTCTTGAAAAAAAGAAAAAAAGAAAAAAAAAATGGAAAATTTCTTGAAAAAAAAGAAAAAAAAAGAAAAAAAAGAAATGGAAAAAAAAAAAGAAAAAAAGAAAAATCGAAAAATGATTTTAAAAAAAGAAAAAAAAAAAGAAATTTTATGAAAGAAAGAGAAAATAAGAAAAGGCCCAAAAAAAGAAAGAGAAAAAAAGAAAAAGAAAAATAAAAATGAAAAAGGAAAAAAGAAAAAAGAGAAAAATGAAAAAAAAGGAAAAGATGAGAAAAAAAGAAAAAAGAAAAAAAAGAAAAAAAAAATTCCAAAAAAAAAAAAAAAATAAAACAAAAAAAAAAAGAATGATTTAATGAAGGAAAAAAATGAAAGAAAAAAATTAGGAAAAAAGAAAAAAAAAAAAAAAGAAAGAAAAGAAAATAAAAAAAAAATAAAAAAAAAGAAAAAAGAAAGAAAGAAAGAAAAAGAAAAAAAGAAAGAAAGAAAAAGTGAAAAAGAAAGAAAGAAAAAAGGAAAAAAGTTCCGAAAAAAATAAGAAAAATGATCGAAATAGAAAGAAAAAATAAAGGAAAGAAAAAAAGAAAAAAAGAAATGAAGAACGAAAAAAAAAAGAAAAAAAAAAAAAGAAAAAAAACAAAAGAAAGAAAAAGAAAAAAATTAAAAAAAGAAAAAAAGAAAAAAAGAAAAAAAGGAAAAAAGAAAAAGGCTAAGAAAAAAAAAAAAGAAAGAAAAGAAAGAATGAATGGAAAAAAGAAAGAAAAAAAAAAAAAAAAAAAAAAAAAAGAAAGAAAAAAAGAATTTAGAAAAAAAAGAAAGAAAGAGTCTGAAAAAAATAAAAAAAAAATTTGAAAAGAAGAAAAAAAGAAAAAAAATGAAAAAAAAAAAAAAGGAAAAAAAAAAGAAATAAAAAGAAGAAAAAATATCATTTTTGAAAAGAAAGAATGAAAAGAATGAAAGAAGAGAATTTTTTGAAAAAAGAAAGAAAAAAAAAAGAAAACAAAAAAAAAAATTAATTTTTTTTTTTTGGGAATTTTGTGAAAAAAAAAAGAAAAAAAAATTAAAAGAAAAGAAAAAAGAAAAAAGAAAAAAGATGAAAAATCTGAAAGAAAGAAGAAAGAAAGAAAAAGTTCAAAGAAAGAAAAAAAGAAGAAGGAAGAATGGAAATAAAAAAAGAAAAAAAAGGAAAGAAAAAAAGAAAAAAAATTAAAAGAAAGAAAAAATTTTGAAAAAGAAAGAAGAAAACATGAAAAGAAATGGAAAATAAAAATGTCATTAAGAAAGAAAAAAAAAAAAAAAAAAAAAAAAAAGAAAAAAAAAGAAAAAAAATTTGAAAAAAAGAAAGGAAAGAATTGAAAAAAAAAAAAAAAAGAAAGAAAAAGAATTGAGAAAAAAAGAAAAAAAAAAGAAAAAAGAAAAAAAGAAAAAAAAGATAGAACCCCTTTGAATGAAAGAAAAAAGAATAAAAAAAAGAAAAAGAAAGAATCAGAAAAACCTTGAATGAAAAAGAAAGAAGAAATAAACGTAAAAAAAAAAAAAAGAAGAAAACTAAAGAGAATTAAAAATAAAATTTTTTAAAATGAAGAAAGAGAAAAGAAAAAAAAAAATTAAAAGAAAAGAAAATTAAAAGAAAAAAAAGAAACATAAAAGAAAGTATTGGAAAGGAAAAGAAAGTTTATAAATAAAAAGAAAAAAAAAAAAAAAAAAAAAAGAAAAAAAAAAAAAGAATAAAAAAGAAAGAAAGAAAAAAAAAAAAAAAAGATGAAATTTGAAAAAAAGAAAGAAAAAAAAAAAAAAAAGAAAGAAAAAAAAAAGGAAAAAAAAAATTAGATGAAAAAATGGAAAAAAAAAAAAAAAAAAAAAAAATTTGGAAAAAAAAAAAAAAAAAAAAAAAAAAAGGGATCAGAAAAATGAAAGAAAGAAAGATCTGAAAAAAAAAAAAAAAAAAAAAGAAAAAAAAAAAAAAAAAAGGAAAAAGAAAGAAAAAAAGAAAAAGAAAAAATGAAAGAAAAGAAGAAAAGTAAAAAGAAAGAAAAAGAAAAAAAAAGAGAATGGAGAAATTATAAAAATATAAAAAAGAAATAAAGAAAAAGAAAAGGAAATAAAGAAAGAAAAAGAAAGAAAGAAAAAAAAAATTT